CCCAGAGGTTCACAGGTACAGAAATTAGAAAATACAGTTTAAGGAGATGAACAATCTATCACTTTATATCCCATAGTTGGGTGTTGTATGAACAAAAATGGAGGAGAAAACAGCATATTAAATGTACAAACTCAACAAGCACTTTGATATTACTGAGCACCGGTGTGCGGTGAGGAGTGAGGAGGCTCCCAGGTGGACAAGCTGGGCCCTGGAAAGGCAGCCCCTGCCCTGGTCCTCACACACCACAACATCCTGCTGTGGTTACTACTAATAACTTTACATACCACTACAGAATACTGTAACATCAGTGAACTGATGCATGACTCCAGAGTCAGGTGCCACATTAAATATCACAGGGTGGGGGAGGGGGAATTGTCTTATTTAGTTTTACACCTGTATTTTACAGCAACTTATACTTGTCTCTCTAGGTTTAATTGATAGATATATCAATATCTAAAACTCTATACATTTTTATGGCAACCATCTGTATGTCGTAACTGTGTTTACAATTATTAGACACACACCTCTTACTAGACAACTAATGTATCATATTCATGTCTGAATTACCAATGCCTACCATGTAAGAGACACAAGATTTACTGTTGAATAAGTGAATACAAGAAGGGAGTGAATACTGAGGGATTTTAAGCATGCAAGTGACAAGCCGACTTATATTTTGGAAGGTAAAACATCCTTGTGTTTGTAAGGTGGTTATGATGGAGGATCAGAAGAGGCAAGACCCAGACAGGAGTCAGGAGGCAGTCCACCGCAACTGCCCAAGCCAAAGATTATAGTCAGTGGCAACTGGAAGAGAAAAGAGGGGGGCAGGAAACATGGCAGCCACATTTTTGATACACAATCTACAGGACATCAATGACTGATAATATAGGTGGTAAAGAATAAGTAAGACTTAAGGACTCACAAGTTTTTGGCTTGAGATACAGGGTATATGGGTGTACATTGGGGTAGAAGCACTATCCTAAAAGGAATAGCACTCCTATTTCTCCTTGTCCTCCACAGAATGGATGCAGAACTGTTGATTCAACTTCAAGGAGGCAGTATCTATCATCTCAGTCCCACAGTGCACACATCCCTCTAATTTAACAAAGAATACCTGTACTGCTTACCTAGTCCCCACCCCAGCCTCTGCTAAATCAACGCATTCATTCTTTCCAATTCTAAACATCCCATCCCTTCACACTTCTTATCCCAAGTAACCAACAAGTTATTTATTTTGCACCTACTAGGTACACCACCCCTGCATGGACTATTCCCCTATTCTCGACCCCAATCCCCATGCAGGCCATCCCTCCCACTCTGGCCAGCTCCCACCCAAGACTTCTCTCTCACCCAGTAACAAGCATGCCCTCCGAACGTCCGGCACGCACACGACCTGTAACCAGCCTTCCATAACACGCCCCTCCCTCCCTGTAACCAGCTTCCACTCAGGACGCCCCACATAACCCTGTAATCAGTCCCCCCCACACACTCCCCACGCGACACTCCAGCCGGCCCCTCCCCCGCCCAGAGCGCACGCGCGGTCAGGGCCCGCGCACCCACCCGGACCCCAGCCGCAGCCCAGCTCGCGCCACAGTGAAAGCAGCACTCACGCGCCACAAGATGTCCCGCGACCCGCCGGCGTAGGGCCGACTCGCAGCGGTGGCCATGGTGATGGCGGCCCCAACTCTGAAAGGTGCAAAAGACTGTGAGCCCGCCCGCCACCGCAGTTCAAAGGGAGGAAGGCCCCAGGAGGACCCCGTTGGGGCTGCCTCAAACGCCGCCTGAGCGAAGCCCGGCCCAGTCCCCAACCCATCCTTTCGAGGTTTCGTCTGGGCAGGCCCAACGGACCAGAGCTGCCCTGCAGACACGTGCCCCACAGTGGCTTGAGACTCCAGAACCCGCCTTCTGGAATCGAAAAGGTCTCTCCGAAGCAGAGCCTAGCGTGGCGCCAGTAACTCGCGGTGGTGCTGCTGCATGCTGGGAACTGTAGTCTCGACGGCCTTCTGGACGCAAGGAGGAGTGTTCCACTTTGGGACTCGATGTTCGGAAGTACAGCATGCTGGGAGTCGAAGTCTTCCTGGAGATACCTTGTGGCATGCTGGGAATCTTAGTCTTTTGTAAAGCCTATACTAGCTAGCCAGTGTTCATAGATGGGAATTCTACAGATCTGGCGAAATGATTTGCTCTCATTTCTCCTGATTTTACTTTGACCGCCTGAAAGTGAAGTCAAACGACGTTGTGGCCCTCTCCACGAAGGTACTCACTAATTTTATTAAAAATAAATAGAGGTGCATTTGGTTTCATAAAATCTGGTTTCTAGTTCCAGCTCTGCTGGATGATATTTTCTGTAGAGGAATAGAAAACACATACTCCCCAGGATAAACCTAAGTCATTATTTTTTTTTTTTACCAAACTCTAAGCCTTGAGGAAGAATTTGAAAAGAATTTTCAGCAAATTGAAAATAAAGCTCAGGCTCCTGCTCCTTCCTTTGATCACCCTTCTCTGGAGCCAGGCTGCACCTCCTGTTGGCTTTCAGGTAGGGCTGTCCTCTGCTGCTTGGTTCTTGGGGGGTCAGATTTCAAGGGAAAGAACAGTGAAGGTAAAAGGAGATCCTTGAGGGAAAATCCACTTAGTAAAAGCAAAGTCTGTAACCCAGAAGAAAAAATGCCTTTTTCTTCCTCTTAAACTAACCTAGGTTGTTCACAAAGTGACAGTAAAATGAAATCTGTGGGTAAAGGTGAGACTACTTGGTGCCTCATCTCCAAGTGTATGAGGAAGAGGCAGGATCAAAGGTTTTTCACATCAATATTTAAGTGCCTGGGAGGAAATAGGTAAGGGCTTTAGAGTCAGACAAATGCAGACTTGAATTCTAGCTCCCTGCCTGATAGCAGGTTAGGGTGGGCAAGTAACTCAACCTCTTAGTGCATGAGTTTCCTCAACTAAAGGGGGATATAGTGTACACTGTTCTATCTACCTGTCTAAATTGAGTCCTGTTACCCACCTTTCGTATAACATCATAGCTATTAATACTGTTCACCAAGTATTTCCAGCTTTCTGCTTTCTAGGCATATAATAGGATTGCACTTCACGGCCCTCTTTCAAGTATGGCCATGTGACCATTCTGGCCAATGAACTGTGAGCAGAAGACATTATGACATGTGTCACTTACAGGTAAAAGATTTAATTGCCATTTTAAGACCCTCCGGACTCTTTCCCTCTGGCACAATGACCAATAATATTTGAGATGGTGGTTGCTCCATCGACCCCAGGACCTGAGTGACTAGAGTGGGCAGAGTTTCCTTTTCTATCTGTGACAGATTTGTAACATGAGCAAGAAATACAATTGTTGTTTTAAACTTCTGATATTTTGGAGTTGTCATTGCAGAATAACCTAATCTATCCTGAATGATATAAATAGTAAATCAATAAATGCAGTTACCTGAAGAGGGCTTGAAAAGCCCTTGAAAAACTTCATTTTATGTATGACCTTATTAATTCACCCCACCAGCATTTACTCATCAATGAGTATGGGCCAGGCCCTGTGGGCATACACCAGAGCAGAGCACCTGCTGTCAGGACGTTTCTGCCTGGTATATAAGCCCCATCTTTAGATACTCACTCTCCTAAATCACACTCTTAACGAATGCATCTGGTAGAATTGGTTATCAGTTTTAGTTTATAAGCTGTTCTTGGGAAAAAGATGAGTACAGGTGTAAGAAGCAAAAACTGATCTTCTTACAGATCCCTCACCTCCTCACCAACTCGTCTTGCTTTTTCTCCTTCATGCCTCTGCTTAAACTGGACTCTGCATCTTCAAATGCCACGTGTTCCATGAACCTTTCCTGTGGAATCTTTCTTTCTTCTAATTCATGTAATTCCACCATTCAGTGGATACGTCCTGCCTTGAGTAGCACAGTAGAGCAAGAACAAACTTTGGAGCCAGGCAATCCTGCATTCAAGTCTTAGCTTTGTCCCTCCCCAGCTGAAGCGAGAGATCTTGCTTTGGTTGAACACTTAAACTTTATCTTGGACACTGGAAATCATATCATATAAATTTAATTCTCACACTTCCCCTTCAAGATTGATTATATATATAATCTTTTACAGAGGAAATCAAGCAGAGAGAGAGGTCAAGTGAAGCAGGGATTCACACCCACATCTATTTGAATGTTTCAGCTCTTTTATATAGTTTTTTCACCGTGTGGTCTATTTATTTGCTTCTTTATCCTTTTTAATGTTTAAAAGGGTTTGTGTTAATTATTTCCTTTACATAACATCTTTAATCCCCTTTATTTGGAGAGGACAATTATTGTTGATTGTTCTCTCAGTGAACAACATTGACCTTATGTAATAACTTCCTTCTCCCGTTCTTCTCCAGCTGATTTGAAGCAATATTCTTTCACTCTCAGCTAATAACTATAAAGCAATGAGCAAGCTTATTCAGCCTTATAAATGTTCCCCATTATTCTTCCATTATTAGTTATACTGTATATTTATTTTTAGGGCACATAGCCATTATAAACTATTGGGTTGTCAGAAAAGTCATGACGTATTTTTGCAACGAAAAACAGAAAAATACATCATGACTTTTCCGACAACCCAATATATTCTCCCCTTATAACCATTATCTATTTTTTCTTAATTCTAAAAGTAAATATATACTTACGGTTCACCACTTGTATGTCAATGTCTTACCTTCCATGTTAGGTTGTCTGAAGTATGCTCCCTAGCAGATGCCTCAGAAAGGTCTCGTGTGAACATTCCCTTATTCTCACGTTCTTATGTTGTTAATATTTTGTCTGTGGCCTTTAAACCTGAAAGTCAGTTTGGCTGGATGTAAAATCCTTAGCTCATATTTCCTTTCCTTGGGTATCTTAGACATGTTGTTACTCTACAGTCTTCTGACATAAAGTGCTGTTGTCAAAAAGTCTGATGACAATCTGACTCTCTTTCCAAGTGAATTTGTCTTTTAGCCTGGATGCACCAAATATTTTTTCTTTAAATACACTAGAAATTTTACTAGAGTATGTACGGTATGTCTCAGTGTTGATCTTCTGGGTTGATTTCCCCAGGTATACGCATGTTCTTTCCACCTGCAGTCTCAAATGTTTTTATTTCCTCATGAAAGTTTTTTATTATAATTTTTTGCATTTATTTCCCTCAATTGCCTAATTATTTTTGTCTTCTTCAGGAACATTTATAATATACCTTTAGATATTTTTTGCCTATCTCCTATATTTGTCATTTTTTCTTCAATTCTTTGATTTCTCCTTATTCATTCTAGAACAACGGTTCTCAACCGTCCTAATGCCGTGACCCCTTAATACAGTTCCTCATGTTGTGGTGACCCAACCATAAAATTATTTTCATTGCTACTCTATAACTGTAATTTTGCTACTTATGAATCGTAATGTAAATATCTTTTTGTTTTCCGATGGTCTTAGGCGACCCCTGTGAAAGGGTCGTTCGACCCCCAAAGGGGTCGCAACCCACAGGTTGAGAACCGCTGCTCTAGAATTAAAACATTTTCCTTTTCACTTTTTATTCCCATAAGGCATTATCTGTTATGCAAAAATTGTTACTCTGATATTCCGTCTAGTGTGGTTTGCATTTATGAAATGAGTTTTCTCTTTTCTTTCCAATTCTTTCCTGAATTTTGTTACCTAATTTCTGCTTTCTAATTTTGATTCATGCTTTTCTTTCATATCTTATACTATTTCCTAAATTTACTTTAGCTCATTTTGAAATATTAAGTTATAGTTTTTATCTGTTTTATATATATAGTTTTATATATATATATAGTTATATATATATATATATATATAGTTATATATATATATATATTATATATATAGTTTTATGGATATATCTTTCTGGAATGCTTTCATTCATTAGAGATGTTATTCTGCTCCTTGGTCTCTCTTTTGTGTGTATGTATAGATAGATAGATAGATAGATAGATAGATAGATAGATAGATAGATATGTATATGTATAGATAGCTAGATAGATATAATCTATAGATAGATAGATGCATAAAATACCTTCATTATGAGATTTGGCTGCAGTCCTTTAAGTTGCTCCTTTTTACATGAAAATAGTTTTCCTTCACATTTAGGAGGGAAAGGTGAGTCAGGAAAGCTTTGCTAAATTCAAGGCTCTACAGTTTCCTTTTCGATGTTTTCGCGAACTGTTCAAAAATAGGGCTTCAGATCTGGCTCTGTTCCCTGTCCACTCTCTCATCTGGACTTCCCTTTCCTGTGCCCCAAATATCCCTAGCCTACCCTATTTGTATTCTATTCCCTGCATCTTTTACTCTGGTGTCCTGGAAAGACACTTTGTCTGCTTTTGAGAGGTCACAGAACCTGGACTGCCCCAGCTTCTTCAGGCTTTCCTTCTGCCCCTTGCACTCGTCAGCTGCACACTGGATTGTACAAAACTCCCCTCCCCACCCCAGGACCAGCAGCTGTTCTGTTGTCCTCTGTACTTTCCAGGGTGCACCTACTGACTGTTTTGAGGTTCTCTTATTTTTAGATTTCTCAGATGCCCGGTTCCTTCCCTCCGCTTCTTTCCACAAAAATGCTGGTACCATGCGAGTCTTCCAGCTGCCAGTGGTTTCTACCTACTTGAATTCTGGGTTTTGTGGTGATATCTTGTCACCCAGTTTTTTTGTGGATGTTGTCCAATGGTTTTGGGTTTTGCTATCCCACTTGTTCTGTTTTTATGGCGGAATTCAGGGAGATTCAAAAAGTATGTTACTGCCACTGCCAACTTCCCAGAATTCTTTTATCTCAATTCTCTATATGACACCAACCAGTTAAATCAAACTGACAATGGACAAACCACCATCATTAACTTTTCTAAAAGTAGGGGCTCCAAGATGTAATAGTTGTCTATCCAAAACCCATTCTGGTTTCATTCAGGGTGACAGTGTGCCCAGCTAAAGAGCATTTCCCAGCCTCACTTGCAGCTAGGGGTGACCCTGTGATACAGTTCTGACCAGCCCCATTGGGTGGGGCTTTGGAAGAATCTTACTAAAAGGCAGGTTAACTCAGTGGCCAACCCCTTTTGCCCTTCCCCTTCTTCCTGCCTATCAAGAGCTGGGCTGAGCTGGAGAGAGCTGAGCTGCCAGGTGTCTGATTAGAGTAGTGAAAATGAAAGTAACAATCAAGCCTTTAATCATTGACTGTAATAGTATAAGCAAGAGACTAAATAGGAGAAAGTGCTGGCTCCTCTAATGTTCCATTTTTCTAATACACCCACATCCAAATGTACCAGAATGCATTCCACCAAGGAATTTGAGTGATTGGATTTTCCCCCCTTTGTTGGTCTAAACAAAAGTTGGCAGGGGATTAAGGGAAAATCAAGGCTATCTCAAAATCACTCTAATAATGAGCATAAATGAATTGTTTTGAGTGGATCTGTACACTGTATTGAACCATCCTCTAACAATTTCACCCACAGCTTCAAAGTTTCTCTTCTTTACTTGCTAGTTTTCTTAGAACTGTGGAATTAAAGATGAAAGCCACAGAGAAATGACAACTTCAGGTTTGTCTCCTTCAATGTTAAGCTTATAGACTTAAGTTTGGGGGATTACTGTAAGTCATTATGTATTGAGATGGAGAAAGGTTGAATGTTTCTGTACTGTTATTCTTAATATTATAAAAAGATTAAGAAAAACTTAAAAAGAAAAAAAGAGAATAATGGCAGGCAAGGATCAGGTGGATAAGTGCAGATGTGGCTATTATCTCATTGCCAAGGGATTCCCTAAACAAAAAGCTCCAGCCATTTTACAAACCCAGGAGGCTGGGAGGAGGGAGCGGGGGAAGGGCGAAGAGTGGAAAAGTACTGAATACTAAGTCAGAGTACACAAAAACATCTTTGAGAGCCTCACCCCGCCCCCCCACCCAATTAAGTTGGTCTCCAGAGGCACCTGAGGCAGGCTATAGCTAGGGCCACAACCCTTCCCCCCATAAGGAGGCCTCCTGGACTAGGAATGTGCCTAAGAGCATGGCTGGGGTGATGGTAGAGTGGGGCCAGAGTCCTTGACTGCAGCTCCCCTCAGAGAGCTCAGTGCACTGGCTGTGCACCTAGTCTGGTGTGAGGTGAGCAGCTTTTCCCAGAGGCCTGTCAAGTAAAGCTTTGTGACAGCCTATGGTCGGGCCTGAAAGATCTCACATAGGTTTTTGGCCTGGAGGTGGACTCCTCAATGCCTACACTTAGAGCAGACATCTTGGGACCAAATCACCCTAAGGACTGCTGATTAGGAAAAAAAAAGATAGAAGTCAGAATCCCTGATGGCATTGGGAGCAGCCATATTAACCTGAGGCTATCTCCAAACTTCTATTTACACGAGAAAAAGAAAAGTCATTTTTTTTAAGCCGCTGCTTTCTGTCCTTCTATTACAGCTGAATACAATTCATCAAGTGCTACATGGGGGCCAAGAGCACGGCTCCCAAATGGTGGTGCTGCCTGGTTCATGAAATTTTCACTGGTCCTTGGTAGGTGAGAAAAAGGAGGGAAGGGGGAGGGGATAGTAGAAGAGGGGAAAGGGGGTCAACTATCCGGTGATGGAAGGAGAACCGACTCTATTTGGTGAACACACAATGCAGTATATAGATGATATATTACAGAAATGTACACTTGAACCCTATATAATTTTACTAAACAATGTCACCTCAGTAAATTTAATAAAATTTTTAAAAAATGAACAATGTAGTCAGTTTTTCATAAAACTAAATTTAATTAAAATTTTCAGTACTAAGATTGTGCCCTTTTGAATTATTTGATATCATGTCCTCTCTTTTATAAGAAGATGATGCTAATTTATGATGCTGGTTATATCTAAACTCCTTAAAAGTTTTTTGGAAAAATTTATCAGTCATACCACTTAAACATACTTAGTAGTAACTAAATCCCTCGCAAATGTGGATATTTATATAGGTTCCTGGGAAAAACTCAAGTTTTCCTTTACTCTAATACTCACGACATTTCTGTGACTAGAGGTGTGGGTTTGCCACAACAAGCAATTCTGACACTGCCAGTTAGCAAAGACCTCACAGGTTAAGGGCTCAGTCCCACAAGACTGCCCCCCCACCCCACTTCAGATGCCAATTACACAGAGTGGGGTCCCCCAGTTACCTACAACTTCTGTCCGACTTGGCTACAAACTGGAGGTTCCCACAACCACCTCCTCAGGTTTGATCATTTTCTAGAGCAGCTCACAGAACCCAGGAAAAGTTTTAGTATTGCTTATTTACAACAAAGGATATTTTAAAAAACACAAATGAACAGCCAGATGAAGAGATACACAGGCAAAGTGTGGAATGGTCCTGGACATAGGAGCTTCTGCCCCTCCCAGAGTTGGGGTACACTCCTAGCACATGAATTTGTTCACCAACCCAGAAGCTCTCCAAATCTGTTCCTTTGGGATTTGTATAGAGGCTTCCTTACGTAGGCATGCTCAATTAACTGTTTTCAGCTCCTCTCCTCTTTCTGGAGGATGGGAGATGGGGCTGAAAGTTCCAAACTTCTAACCATGGCATGATTTTTCTGGTGACCAGCCCCATCCAGGAGCCTTCCCCAAGAGTCACCTCATTACAAAAGACGCTCCATCACCCAGGAAATTCCAAGAGATTTAGGAGCTCTGTGTCAGGAATTGGGGTCAAAGACTAAATATTAGAACAAGATTCTCCCAATACCCCCATTTACAAGGGTCTTAGGGAGTCTGTGTTAGGAACTGGGCAGAGACATATATATATATATATATATATATATATATATATATATATATATATATATATATATAAAATTTTTTTTTTTAAGCTGAGCCATCCTGCCACCTGTTGGCAGCTCAGCGTCCACTCAGCTTGGGCCGGGAATCGAACAGGCGACCCTGTTACTCAGAGCTCACACTCTTGAGCGAGCTCTTAACCAACTGAGCCACTTGGCCGGCCCCTATATATATTTCTTTTATTTTACAATGTGCTCCTTTCTTCAACAGGAAAAAAATCCTGCCACTTTGGGTAAGCGATAGGAAGGGGAGGTTGTAGATGGCTGGTACAGGGGAATTCACAGGATCCAGAAGTATAAGAATCACTGCCTTGGGCAGCAGGAATTACGTATTAAAGAAAGAACAAGCCAGGTTACCAGTTCAGAGGGTGACCCGAAGGTATAGACACCAAGATCTCTGAAGAGTACTTGAAGACGAAAGAAATATTTAGCTAGAAAGACTCACAGGGCACAGAACAGCCATCGTCAAATATCTGAAGTGAACAAAGTGAAAAAAACTCAGACTTGTTCTAAGAGGCACAGGGTTAGAGCTAGGACCAACCAGTGACAACAGCAGAGGAACTTCTAAAAGAACAGTTGTTGGAAGGAGAAAATGGCTGCCTGCAACCACTTAGCAGTGATCACTGGACTGTCAAGAGCTATGAGAACAGGGACCTTGTCTGTTTTGTTTGCTGCTCTAGCCCCAGTACCTAGAATGGTGATCAGCACACAGTAGGTGCACAATATATATCTGTTGAGTGAATTATTGGGGAGATACTCAGCATTTGATGGGAGGTTTGGCAAGATGACCTGAAGTTCACTGTCACCTGAATGGGTGTGCATTTTCCTTTATCTGCGTGGTCAGACTTTTAAATCCAAATGTGTCTTTGTAGTCTATTCAGAAATACATAGGGAACTCCTATCCTGAAGAGGACAACAGGAACAGTGGGCAATCAACAATCCTGACCTGGCAGAAGCTCAGCCTCCTGGATGGTGTGCATTTTTAATATAAAGTATAAAAAAGTACTTATGAGGTGTCACTGGTTTCTCCTTTGAATGCACTCTAGCCAGGAAGTCATGCCACCTTGCAGAGGTACTCAAAGTGCCCTAAAAGAATTTTCTAAAATCACTGTCAAAATAGGTTATAATTGAGTATGTTCTTTAAACGCACTGTTCCATACTTAGAGGAGGAAAAATTCAGATGTTCAATTGAACCCCCACATCACAGCAGCGAGCACATTACATCAAATTCTCAGCAGCCTCCAGCATGCTAAAGACAAAACATCAAGGAAGAACTTCAGGTCAAAGTCATGAAATGCAGACACAGATGTCACGTGAGGTATTTATTTTGCCACCACTGGGTTCAGGTGCCCAGTATCAGGTCACCAAAGATGAATTTTTAGGCTCCCAGTAAATCCCAACCAAAGTTCACACTGTTTGGCCACTTTAGAATGGCAAG